CAAATGGGCGCAGGTGGCTCAGGCACCCCAGCAGCCTGGTTCGGCCCTAAAGTGGCAGCAGGTACCCCGGCCAAGTATCCGGCTCCAGCAGCTGCAAATGGCCCAGTGGCCCCAACGGCCACCCTACCAGCTCCTGATCCCTCGCTACCAGGCCAAGTACTCACATTACCGGCCCATGATATCCCGTTACCAGGAAAGGCTGCTAGGACACCGACCCAAGACTCCGCTCTTTCGGATCAAGCATCTTCGACACCCCCAGCAGATCAGATATACACGTTAGCAAATTGGTTTTTCAAGCAGCCTAATAAAAATATGATCCAATTTATTTATTTATTTTTTTCTCTCCCCTCAAATTTTGTAATCAAACTGTCTCCGCTGGGATGTCATAAAAGTAGGCGGGGCAACATCGGGGGACTTTTGTGTTTAATATGAATTTCTTTCCGGCACAGCAGCTAATAAGCATGTGGCAGCAACACTAAGAACAACAATGGGGAAGGTTATCTAGTGACACCTCTAAGATCATCCAAGAGTTCAGATGTTACTTTCCTGAACTCACGATTTCTGTTTTAGGCACTGCAACATTGAAACACTGTTCTGACCTTTCAAAGTAAAATACAGCTTCTGTTATAATTATTTTGCTATGTGTCTATTTATTTGTTGAAAAGCTCAATATCTAGTTTAGCGTTAAGCTAAACTAAATCCCTATATTATCCCCTATATTGTTACACCATCTTTGACAAAGGCTGCCAGCATTATGTGTGCCCCAAAAGGGGTTTTGCAACATTTCGATTGAACATATCTTAAAAATTCCATTTCACAGCACATCTACTCCATTACACTCAGAAGTCTAAGAACTGCTTCTAACAGGACATGACCTGTTGCCTTTAAAACATTGGATCAAAGTAGATACTGTTCACCTGGCAGACCTTTATTGTGTTTCAATGTGTTATTTAGGAGTGTGCAAAGTTCACAGGGTTTTTTTCTTAGATGTTGGTGCTTTCTGCTTCAGTAAACTTTATTGTAACTCTAATAATGCAGTTTTTACAATCCCCTCCACTAGAGGAAGCGCTACTCCACAAACGTTGGTTAGATATAATATAAGACATCTGATTCACATTTCAGTGGTACCAATTTAATTTGCATGAAGAACATTTAGAACATTATATTCCTACTTCTAATTATGCATCTATGGTTCATAGATGTAGTGAAGGGCATCATTGGTGGGACAGAAGGGAATAGTAAGGGTAGGGTGAAATCGAGGCAGATGATCAGCTGTAGTAACCTGTAAAGGGAGCAATCAAAACAAGAAGAAAGGCTTCACGTTTGTACGAATAGTAAGAATCCACCTTCTCTTTGGAAGTTATGATTTGGTCAAAGATGTAAAACAAAATGTATACCACTTCTCAGTGTTGGGGGGTCAGCAGGCTTTCTTTTCTAAGCTATATGATATTCTTAAACTTTTGCAATAAATGAAATAAAGGAGATTTTTAGACTAGTACATTTATTTAATGTGTTGTTTATGTTTGTTAAGCTAAACCTACTTTTTAATGTTTGTAGCAAAGGAATTTCCAAACTTTGCAATGATTTTATTGATAGAAATCATGTTGATATAGACATAAAGCCAGTGGCGGAATACTTCTGTCAGCTGCACATGTATTCTTTTAGCAGAATTAAAGTAGTACGAAGTACTACAGAATTGAAGTACGCACACTACGCGTACTACGTATGGCGCGTACTATAAGTACCAGAAGTGCGGAAGTGAGAGGCTTGTGAAATGGGAC